GTAGGGCTATCTCTAAAACTGAAACCTTTTTTTGGGGGGGGGGGGGGGGGGGATTGTTCCTACTAGCTACTGCATTGAAAAGCTCTGCACATATAATCCACATAAGGTGTCCTTGGGTGCCATGTAAGCAGTTTAACATGTATAATAAATGTCTGATGGACAACAGACATGTTTATAAGCTTTCAAAAAAGCATATCTTTGTCTAACTGTTTGGCTCCCTCTAGTGTCCCAATGGTTGCAGGACATCTTAATCTGAGTGTTTGATTAGGTGCTCCATCAGCTGATGGTAAACACACTTGCCTGATCAGCAGCTACTTAAACTTAGGTGTGTGAGTCTCACATTTAATCACTTTGTGTTGCTCTTACATATCAAGTCCTCAACCAGGTAAAGTGACTCAACATTTCCTTTATAATAGACAAAATAGCAAATAATTTGTTTGAGTGTTGGCAGGAGCTTTCTGATTTAAAATCTGAGTACTTAGGCTGTCATTCTTTTTGATAAATTCAGTATTTTCTTCTCCATGACACATTGGGGGTTTTCTACACTGTAAACAGTTATTTGGTTGTGTTCAGACTTCGCCATTCCCGTACCCTCTGAGATTTACTATAACGTTTCCAACTGTTTGATGATTCATTTTATATTATCTAGTGTGTACCATTTTTATTCATTGGCTTTATTTACTATTGTTCCACATTTGAGATCAGAACTTCAAGCTTTTCAAATGTATGTTTTGGTGTTGCAAGTCACTTTTGGTACTGAGTGCGAGGAGAGCACTAAACGGTTCAGAACCACAAATCTACACGACTTATTTCACCCTAACATGCTTGGTGTATGAACATTAAAAGTCTGGTGGCAAACAATTGTGTATATTGAATATAATATTTAAGAATCTAAATGTCTAATATGCATGTGTAGATCAAACAAAGACAGACCAAAGTGATAAACATAACTGAAATGCCCTCATTAGCAATGCTTGAGAGTTAGCTATGTGTGAATGTCTTCTCTTAACTGCAGTGGTTATTTTTTTCCCCCTTTCTTGAGCAGTGAATCATTTTAAAACATTGTAAACATACACTGAATTTGGTCCAAATATTCCTATTACATTTTATCCCAAAATCATCCTGTTTATGTAATGTTTGCTCAGATCTACAGTTCTTAATTATTGCTGTGGATCCACACCTGACAGATCCTCCTCCTGCAGGTCCAATATGGCAATGAACGCTGTGAACAAACCTCTGTCAGCTCACCCAAGCAGAGTGCATGGAAACACTCGGGTTAACAGTGGTGGGCCGTCCTCTGATCAGCATGATCCAGGACTATACACCCCCTGCCAAGACCACGGAGCTCCACCCCACCACCCCCAACACCACCTCCCTGGCCGGCCTGTCTTCTACGTCCATGCTCCACCCCCACCCCCTTTCCACACCTGCCAGTGGCCCATGCCCTTCTCCTATAACCCCTTTGCAGGCTTCCCAGGAACGGGTGAGTCTTGCATTTTTACATTTTGGTGGAAACGTTTAAAAATTCTGGTTTTTGGTTCTATATTTTAGGTGAAAGCCAAAGGCTGGGTTCAGTTAGTTTGATGCAAGCGAGGGACACAATAACATGGAACCTACAACATTCATTATCCAACACCAGAGATGGAAGAAGTACTCAGATCTTGTACTGTACTTGAGTAAAAGTACCAGAGTGTATTTTTTTTTCAATTCAAAACCTTTATTTATCCAGGGTAAAATCCCATTGAGATCAATGATTTTTCTTTTCAAGGGAGACCTGCAGCAGTAGGTTCCACATGAAAACATAAACAACAGAACAACAAAAGGACATCATACAGTGTAGGAATACTCTGTTACAGTAAAAGTCCTGCATTCAAAATGTTACTAAAGTATCAGCATCAAAATATAGTTAAAGTAGCGACAGTAAAAGTAGTCATTGTGCAGATTGGTCAATTTCAGAATAATATATATGATATGTTTTATAATGATTGATCATTAAAGTGTTCTCAAAGCTGGTAAAGGTGCAGCTAGTTTGAATGACTTTGTATACTGCAGGGTAGCTTGTGGATTTACTCCAGGTGGAACTAAAGTCTGATTTAACACTTGATTAGATTTCAAATCATTCATCCAAATATGAAAAGTAACTAAAGGTATTGAGTAACTGTATGAATAAAAGTTAAGTAAAAATACAAAGTAGCAGAAATGTAAATACTCAATTAAAGTACTAGTATCTCAAAATTGTGCTTGATGAAAGGTTCTTGGTCACTGTTGAACACAATGGTCTTATACTGTATGTATGAAACTTTGCTTTAACTTTTCTATGACAGAAATGTAAACTCAGATATTGAAATTTGAAGGTGCTGCTCTCTGGACTTGAACGTCCATCTCAGATTCACCGTTTCTTGTTTCTACTTCCCAGGCTATGGTATGGTGATGCCCTCGTTTCCTCCTCCCAATCCCTATATGGAGGTTCCAGAATACATCCTGCCCCGCCCTCACATGCAACCAGTCGACTACAGACGTTTCGTCCACCCCCAGGCCCAGGCTCCTAGCGTAGCGTATCAGAACCCATACCAGCCCTGTAGAGTCCACCCACATCATACCGACCCAGTTAGAGAAACCGTGAACTCGGCGGTCCAAACAGAACCCCAACAGAGAGGAAGAGGTTTCAGTGAGGAAAGCCCACTCATCAGCGCAGATTCGGGTAGAGGAAATAAACTCTCCTTCGTCCTCGAGCTCAAGCTCCCAAATACAAAACTCTGCTGAAGTTGAGAACGACGCGTTACACAGCAGTAATGAAAAAGACCTCCCGGTTAAAGAGACCAGTAACAAACATGGCTTTAACGTCCTCCGACCTACAGGAACGACAGCCACCCAGTCATGTAGCCGAGCAACCCTGGACACTCAGAAGAGCCGAAAAGAGAGTGTGGGTCAGGAGAATGTTCCCCCCATGCAGGAACGCTCACTGCAACATGTGGTCTGTTGGCTCTCAAGATGGTATGGTTCCTGTGTGTAACTCCTCCCAACAAGAGGAGGAGGTTGTCAAAGAGAGGCGGATCTCCGTTCCTGACATCCTCATGAGTTGGGGAGGTGGTACGCCTCAGGAACGATGTTNGATGTTGAAGGTAGCAGATAAGCTGCTTCAGAATGACCTCCAAACTGAAGTAGAGCAGGATAAGTCTGTTCACCAGAGTGGAGTCGAGACCAGAATCAGTCCAGAGGCGGCTTATCCTAAAGATGATGCTCAGGGTAACTTCATCTCTGAGCACAGTGAAGTCCTTTTCAAGATCCTCAAACTGAGAGAAGCTGAAGAAGGACAATACACAGAGTCCAGGAACAATGAAGAGTATTTGGGACTCGGTAGCTCCGTAAGGCGTTGTCTTCCATTCGCAGATGAACTTCTACAATCCTCATCCCATAAGCTCCCTGACAATGAGCAAGAATATAGCATCGAGACAAATCCGCTT